CCAGTTAAACCCGGTATCCAAGGCGACTCGACGCAAGCCACATGTACCCATGTTTCCATCGTCATGAGTGGATTGGTTCTTTCTTCTGGAGAAGACAGCCTCCGCAAAAGCCCAACATGATCATGTACACGCTGGCTTACTTGTCTTCAGTAAAATGAGTGGTTTCCAAAAGCCATCAGGAAAACCCTGCCTTTAATTCTCCTGGGTTGTGCAGAGAAACCTCAGCTTTGATTTTGTACCACAACAAAAGGTAGGCTTGGGAGATTCCAATCAATCAATTCTATTGAAAAGCATCACGCAGCCTATTTATCAAGACGAACAGCTGGCGAGAGTGTTAAACATTCAGGTAAACAGATAATCCATTAAGGAAACAATGCACATTGTGGCACAGGCCATCCTGGTTTGTCAGCTCTTATTTCTCATCTTTGGAGTCCCCTGCCCTCCTGCTGCGGGACTTCTATTCCCCCTCTTCCCGTCTTTGTTCTCTTGTTCACGGCCAAGTGAAAACAAAGCAAGAAAGCAGCACATACCCAGTGTTCCGTTCTGGACAAGTTCTTCCTCTATAGTGAAAATGCGGTTGTACTTGGTCACCCGTTCGCCGCGAGAAAGACCTCCCAACTTGATAAACTGGACACCCAGTCCAACGGCCTTAAGCAGGGGAAAAACAACTTATTTATTATCTTTTATTTATGTAATTAATTTTTTTATTTCAGAGAGGAAGGGAGAGGGAGAGAGATAGAAACATCAATGATGAGAGAGAACCATTGATCGGCTGCCTCCTGCACATCCCCTACTGGGGGTTGAGCCCGCAACCTAGGCACGTGCCCTTGACAGGAATTGAATCCGGGACCCTTTAGTCTGCAGGCTGATGCTCTGTCTACTGAGCCAAACCAGCTAGGGCAAAAGACAACTTTTTTGAAATGGAGAAGTCACCTTTTTCTAAAAGGACACTGTCCCTGTGTGCTGTTTGCGTGTTTCTCTTACCACTTCATTTTTTGTCTTACATAGGTAAGGGGGCCTGCTTAGAGCTGAGGGTGTCAGACAGAGAGTGTGACTGCATCACACACCTCATGGTCGTGTAGGCACGCTGACTTTGCCCAAGAGCGTGCTGGCCTTCCTCACTTCATTCTAGGAGGTGAGGCGGCAGGTGCACACCCCAGTCATTGAAGTGTGCTCACCCTTTCCCCAGGACTTCCATTTCTCTTCTTTTTAAAAGGTCAACGTTTAGCTCTTCGCAAAAGGGAGGAGGCAAGTCTATTTTGTAAACGGTTCCAGGACTTTCTCCGCCAAAGCCTGTATTTCCCTGAAACACCAGTTCCCGATAAAAGCGGTGTTTTGGCAATTCTGCAGCTGACCAGCCTGCAGCACTTACCAGGTCCACGAGGCTGTCATCTGCAGACTCCCCTTCCGCGCTTCCAAAGACAGCCACGTGCTTCTTACCTGCAGGCAGAGGAGTTCTTTTCAGCTTCCCGTGGTACAGAAACAATTTGCAAATGCATGAGCCTCTGAGAGCAACATGTAGAAATGCCCAGAGATTTAAAAGTTTCCCGTGACAATTCAATTGTTTGACCACCTAAGAATTCTAATCCAAATATTTGCTTCCCCCACCCTCCCCTTTCCCCCCGCAATACCTGGTTTTATCTGTTCACCCCTTTCCAGTAGCTCGGATGCTAAATACTAAATGAATGCTACCTTTTGTCAAATGTAAGGTATGACAAATGGTAAGAGTCACCATTATTACCCCTAAAGGGGGGAAATGCTCAAATTAGATCGATAGCATTTCTAAGACCACAGCTGTATGCCACGATTCAATTTCGTGCTTGTTCAATGAGGAAAAGTGCATCTTTGAGTCAGGACACTTTAAGTGCCAGGCATCGCATGGGGAGTTGATGTACCTAATGCAGCGGTTCTCAACCTGTGGGTCGCGACCCCTTTGGCGGTCGAACGACCCTTTCACAGGGACAGCGTTTCAGATATTTACATGACGATTCATAACAGTAGCAACATTACAGTTATGAAGTAGCAACAAAAATAATTTTATGGTTGGGTCACAACATGAAGAACTGTATTTAAAGGGCCAGAAGGTTGAGAACCACTGGCCTAGTGTATTTTACAACTCACTGTGTAGAATTTTATTCAAAGGAGCCTGTCATTCTGAATGTTGACTTATCAGAAGAGCAGTGTGGATAGTATTTAATCATTTCAGGATCTCAAAACCCCTTGGAATTTACCAAAGTCTACAAGGAGTGTGAGCCAAAGTTCTTCCTGCAGGGACAGTGTTTGCGTGTTCAGAGGCGGGAGCTCCAGCGGCAATCTGAAGTGAGTGATAGTCTGACTGTCGAGTTTGGGCCCTGGACCAGGGCAGCCTCAGGCCTGGGGTCTACAGGCATCTCATTCCTTTCTCCGGCACCCGCCCAGGCCCCTGGATGCTAGTCCCACTTTGAGTCCTGCTCCAGGTCTGAGACTAGCCTTCTGCCTACTTCCTGATATTTATGTTTCAGGGACTGTGCGTAAGTGAACAAGACTCCCGTGAACTCATGGAAGTCTACAGTCAAGTGGGAGATACCCGGCACTAAATAATTGTACGAGTAATTGTGGCCAGTACTACGAAGGGGAAATAAATGTAAGCTGCTATGAGAAAGGTTTGCTGCAAGGGGTGGAGGGAGTCAGGGAAGGCAGAGACAGGGTGGGACAAAAGTAGGTTTACAGTTACTTGTATGGCCAATAACATAGTAATAAATAATAATACACGAATAAACTCTGCTTCATGTACTCACAACTGTAAACCTCCTTCTGCCCCACCCTGTATATGCCAAGAAGAGGCTTCACTTAAGGCAAGAAGACCTGAAGGGTCAGGAGTAGGGAGCCAAGTAACAGGACAGGGCAAAGCATTCTAGGCTGAGGGAGCAGCATGTTGAAAGACCTCAAGGTGGTAAGGAAGTGAAACTTGAGGAATAAAAAAATAAAAAAAGCCAGTGTGGGCAAGTGGGATCCCTGTCCTATCATGTGCAGCTGACAGGGCAGTGGCCTGGCCACACCTTCGTGGTGGCCCCTCTAAAGTAGATGCCCTCCGGGGCTGGGGCTGACAGGGGGCGCCGGGGAGTGAAGACGCCGCTTTTATTTCCCAGCACCAGATCTCTCACAGGCGGTGGGGTTTGTTTTTTCCCTCCCAGGTTTAGCCCATGCTTATTAGCCACCGTACAGCCTGTTTTCGGCTTCTTGTATAACCGAGTTCGTGCTGAGTCTTTGCGACCTCGACTTTTTTACTCACTGTCGATGAGGTTGCTTATTTCCACCAAGTCAGACATCGTCGTTTGATTGGTGTGCTTTATGATCCGCCCACTGGATTTGGGGGTGCTGATGTTGCCTTCCTCTAGAAGTGTGGAAATGCTTTTGGAGGCACTTCCCGCAATTATGTAACACCTGGAACCAAGAGCATTATAGAGGCTGTCCCACTGTTCAGAGTCCTGGGTGAATATTTAAGAATTGATCGTTATAAGGTATTGAACACAACCACAGAACAACAGGAATCATATAGCACATACAGTTGTACGCCTTTCTGAGATAACACGCAATGGTTTTCTTTCGCACCTGCAGCTGAAGGGTGCCTACACCACAGCCACACAGATTAACGAGCTCCTCGGAGCAGAAACTTAAAATGATTACATTTGAGCGTAAAGATCTAGTGAATAAAATGTTTATACACATTAGTTGCTATTGTCCACGTTGATTCTGAAGCTCTTCAAACCCAGGCTTTCCTCGCCCACTGTATTATCCGTAATGTTGCTAAAGATTGGCTGGTTAGAAGATTCTACTGTTATTTCTGGTAAACAGACAAGATGAAAGCACCGAGCTCAGTCTGTGTCTTCCGCAAGCGCCTGGGTGGAGCTAAGGCTGTGAAAGGGAAGACAGGACTGAGAGAGCCTGGGGCTCCTAACCAGACCCGACACTACCTGCCCCCAGATGTGAAACCTTGCGTTATCTCAGAGAGGGTGTCTGTTCAAGTTCATCTAATGGTTCTCACATTCATAAATTGAGAATTTCAGTTTTGCTCTTTAAGGGAGAGGGATGGTCTTCTGTGGCACATAAACAACCCTTGTTAGAGGCATTAGCTTGAATAGATTAAAACCAAACCTTTTTTAAAAAAAAATATGGCTTTGTTACTCTCTTGCATATGCAGTAACTGGATTTAGGTTAAAAACAGTTGGCCTAGTGGAAGTCCTGTTTCCATGAGCACTTGAAAATGATCTATGATTAACCTACTGAGGCTCCAGCTAGCACAGCGGGCTCAGTGGCCCTCAGTTAAGTTGCTTGTAAATGTACGGCTACTCCTGAAGTGCCTGGGGATAGCTTGCTTCAGTCCGTGGACAGGCACACTCCTAGGTCATTGTGTTTCTGCGATTCATTTGCTTAGTAAGTGCCTTTTCCCATAGATGCCGAAAGAAAGCAACTCATTTCCAGCCCAAATTATAACACATTTCAAATGACAGATCCAAAAGAATGAGATTTTATTATAAAACTCAAGGCGAATCCTCTTACCTCTTTCCTGAAAGGATCAATTAAGGCGATAATTGAAGGGAACTTGCTGATCAGATCCACATACAGGTCAACCATCTCAGTGGTGTTTTTGTATGTTCCCGTCATCACTTCATACTTCCCCTTACTCTGGCGAGTGTAAGGAAGATATTAGAGGGTAAACACTGAATTCCTCAAATGTTAAAAATGGGGTTCAAATACATTTTCATACATTTCACAGAAAAGATTGCAAACAGATTCTTTTCAGGCCAGATTCACATAAGAAATGTACCCATTTTACTTTTAACATCTGTTCCATATTAACCTGGGGAAAGCCAGTCACCATCCCCTTTGATGCATCACCCAGTGACTTCGGACGAAGCCTTCTGCACAAAAAACGAAGGTTTATGGCGTGGTGCTTAGGTAGACGGGCAACAACCTAAGTTCATAAAACAAACCATAGCGCCACGCAAACCTGCCCACTCGCCAGAACCCACCATCTTCCAACTCACACTGAACAAGTGGATTTCTTCTGCTGGGAATATTCTAGAACTTGAAAGCAGGGCTAGGCTTTTGAAAGATAAAGTGATTATGTGAAGGCACTCCTTAATCAGCATGCAGGTTCTAGTAGTACCAGTTCTGTCCTGAAAGTATAATTCGAGTGCAATCCCATTCATTTGAAGTCTGGTGAGCCCCCTAGTCATTAGGTACAGAGGTTAGCAGGGCTGTGGGATCTGTAGGTTCTCTGTGAAACAGGCACCTTTCCTCCAACTCTGTGTTCAGGGATGGCACCTGGGATACTGAGGGAGCTGGAAGGGAATGGAATGGCTGTTTGGTTTGCTAGTGACTTCCTGCTGGTGCTGCTAATGGACTGGATTCCATTGGAATGAAGCAGGTTAAGAAATCCGTAATGCAAAGGACTTCATAACTTTTTTCACACTGAATAGCATCAAGGACTTTTAGTTTATTTGTTGTTGTTGTTGTTAATCCTCATCTGAGGATATTTTTCCATTGATTTTTAGAGAGTGGAAGGGAGGGGGAGAGACACACAGAGAAACATTGACTTAAGAGAGACATATCGATTGGTTGCCTCCTGCACGCGCCCCAACCAGGGCCAGGGATGGAACCTGCAACCAAGGAACATGCCCTTGACTGGAATCGAACCTGGGACCCTTCAGTTCTCAGGCTGACACTCTATCCACTGAGCCAAACTGGCTAAGGGCAAGAACTTATAGTTTCTATACTTGAAGGTTTTAAACTCCTATCTTGTCAGTAAGGAAATGCTAGACTTTGAACTAACATTATTGTAAGAATTATCTGACGTCAAGCTAATATATTTTACTCAATCTGAGCAATAAATACCCATTCAAGTTAGCACTAGGAGCCAGTATATTCATAGTCCTTGGTATACGTTGCTGATGAAAACATGCAATTATTTTCTTAATGGTATGCCTAGGAACCAATCATTATGTGAAGAACAGGAAATTACATTAAAAATTCCTTTATGTGCTTAGTTTCTTTAGAAAAGTAAAAGAACTTTTAGAAATCAGCTGAAACTTAGGGTTCCTGTATACTGTTCAGATTCTTCTTTGAAATTGAAAGTTAGAATGCTAAATCAAAGCGAAATTCTATTTGGTCATATCCCCTGAATTTGACATTAACTGCCAAGTCACCGTAAATGCATATCAATGTGCTGGGCATTTTATAAAACCTGGACTCAGCATTTATGTATTTGGAAATGGCAAGTATGTGTATGAAACAGACAACCTGTAATAGCTTTCCTAACGTAACTACTTCCCACATTTAAAGGTTAATTGCTGATAAAGTCCCCCAAGGAAGTGAGGGCTACAACATTCTTAAATAAAACCTGTTTTCCATTCTCTTGCTTTTTAAAATAACTTCATGTGGTGTGGTCCCTAGGTGAAGTTTCATCACTAACGCTCTGCCCTACCCCAGACTGTGGATAACACTGTGATGGGCTTAATTGGGTATATTCTCTAAGTATACCCATAAACTTCAATAACTTGGAAATGTTTTTATATTTAAAAAGTGAGTCACAGCACAAACTCCGAGAGCCACGTGTCTAGAAGGGTTTATCAAGTCACACTTACAGCGGGTCTACTTTTCACGCTTGACAAATTCAGCATTTACCAACCAAGTGACTGTACTCAGCAAAACATCCCAGTCCGTGAAATTATGTTTCAATAGCTCTCATGATTGCAATGTAAGCAACCCATTCTAGTCACTTTTATGACAGAATGTCTATATATACTTAGGATGTTTTCTGTTTCTTTTTAAAAATCATGTATTCTCTGGTCATTAGCTAACTCCATTTATATTTGGATCCCCCTCCCACCCCCTTAAATTAACAACAACAAAAAGAGATCTATTTGAAAAATATACAGATCAGCTCTTCCTTTCAGTTCTAACTTAAAAATAATGTGACGTCAACAAAAAGCAAATGTTCTGCAGAAGAAACTTACATAGTCCACCAGCTCATGCGCAGCACAGTTGATGGCCAGATACAGATTCGTCCCCAGTTCTAGCCCCAGGTTCGCACAGATTCCTTGTATGGTGAGCAGGGGCTGCTCTATGGTGTCGTAATTGATGGTCAGGCAGCCCAGATGGGACATCTTGCCAGTGACCGGCTGCTGCAAGGTCAAAGGAAAATGACGAGTGTAAACACAGCACGTCACTGTCCTGGGAGTCTCCCGTGTTGGGCGCATTTTAGAAACAATGCTCCAGGGGGGGCTCCTCTGATTCTGGATTAATCCTCTGTCTCGGTCCCACTCACCTCTGGGTGACCTCGGGGCACAGGTTTGCCCTGCCGTGTCTGGGAGTAATTTTCTTCCTTTACTTGCCGAGGTTTTCGAGCGGGGCCCGGAGAACAACTTTCCTGTCTTCTGGGTGCGCATGTTATCCCTTTACTGGCTCACCCCTGGCTCATGGGCTCACCTGAGCCGCACCACCAGGTTGGTGCCTCTCCAGGCTGTCCCTGTAAACGTCTGTCCTGCCTGTCCCTCCCTCTGCCCTCTTCCCCCAAACCGGCTCTTTCCCGTGCTCCCTTTTCCTTTAGGAGAATGTAACTGCCAACACTTAGCACTGCAGTCCTCCTTCAGGGGAGCTTTCATTTTAAAAAGGACTGAAGACTTCAGCTCAGAGGGTGCAGCTGAGGGTAGAGTTCAGTGGAAGAAGATCTGAGGAGTCAAAGGACGCCAGGGCAAGGCAGCCACACGCCTCTCCTGGGAGGCCAGCCTTGACGTGCCTGGGCCATAAACCGTGCACCACGCGATCATCACATAAGTTGAAGCGATATCAGTCCTTCTGAGGGCTTAAGGGTGTGTGTGAGTGTGTGTGAACCACACTCAAGAGCTAATGTGAACCTAGGTATAAATATCCCCTTGTTACTGGCGGTAGCCCTAGTTAATTCTAAGGACCATCCAACATTTTTATTGTAGTTGTAATCTTCACTGGAGGATATTTTCCCCATGGATTTTTAGAGAGAGTGGAAGGGAGGGGAGAGACAGATGTGAGAGAGACACATCGATTGGCTGCCGCCTGCATGTGCCCCAACCAGGGCCGGGGATCAGGGATTGAGCCTGCAACCAAGATACGTGCCCTTGACCGGAATCAAACCCGGGACCCTTCAGTACATCCAACATTTCTAATGTTAGTGAGAGGAACCTTCTATTCGACAAAGGAAGAGTTGGGGAAATTCTTGTGTTCAGAGCACCCACAATACCAAAGGGACCAACTGAACAAGTTGGGCGTGTCTCCCAAGGCTCTTGCAGCCAGCATGGCAAACTTTCCCAAGAACCGTGCGCCTAACTCTCCTGGCAAAATCTGAGATCTGGCAATGTGTCATTGGAAATGGTGCCTCAGTGCCTTCGGGGACCAGATGTAAGGAGTGGCTATCTTTCTGTGCCTTTCTCTCCTTGGTAGTAGCACGATTAAAATCTAAAGCACCTGATATGCGTTTCATTTAGTTAGCAGAGAGATTCAACTTCCCCAACACTTTGCCTCGGGTTTCAAATGTAACCCTATTACTCAGAATGCTCCTCGGAGCCGTTGGTTGGCTAGACGCCTGCTGGCAGAAAGGCGAGGGCTAGCGATATTCCAGCTCTCGGTTGCCTGGTTCAGTGCTCCTGGTTTGGTGTAGACTCCCCCTTGCATTAGCCCTGGTCTTGGAGCAAAGTGACTGTGGGAGAGACCAAGGGGCAGGGAATACATAGATGATCTGCGTCACAAACAAGGGTGGTAAAAAGGCAAGATACTGACCTGACCTCTTTTGCCTCCATTTTGCCCTTTCTTCATCTCTGCTTTTGGAGGAGGGGACTGTGGGACAGAAGATAGCGAGGTATCACTTATCTGTGGGCAGCAAGCAAAGCTCAGGTCCCAGAGGAGCCCAGCCAGTCACACTGTGAATCAATCTCTCCCCCCGCCTCTCTCTCTCTCTCTCTCTCTCTCTCTCTCTCTCTCTCTCTCACACACACACACACACACACACACACACACACTCAAATCATGCCAGCCACTCCCTACTTTATAAACCCTAACTATTTGTCAAAATCAGGCACATGTTCCCACTAGTTCATCCTTACCTCCTGCCTCCAATCATATCTATGGGGCATGTAGATACTTGTTCATGCATTTCTACTCATATAAATAAAGTATTATGCATACAAAGTCCCCTCCTTGCCCATAAGGAATAAGACCACTGTGGGATTTGCTTTCACAAGCCCAACATGTTGTTTCAAATATTATCAGGGTACGAACAACTTTCTCCTACAAGGGGAGGGGGGAGTTGACTTTTGGAAACAGCCAAGGGTCATTAAATCTGGTGACTGATGTGTGTTAAAGTCAGCTGAGATGAACAGCAAAGATATTTCCTGAAGAGACGTTCCCACAATTTGGGGGACTGATAAGGCTGCACTTTCATGTCCAGCATTTACTGGCTATAAACGGGGTCAAGTTTGTCAAAAATCAGCATGGTTCACACTCAAGTATGTGCAAATACAATGATCCTGCTCTGTGCACTGTGGAGTCAGCTGACCTTTCTCTCCCCTGGTAAAAATAACAGGAGCGGGTCCACGTGCCAGGCAGGAGAGACACAGTGGTGACAAGGCAGACATGGGCACGGTGGGGAGCTGGTGGCAGGGGTGACTGGCTCTACCAGTATTTGAATTTTCATAAGCACGCTCATGAGCTACTTGAATAATCAAAAGGCAATAAGATGTTTGAAAGTCGGGCTGAATGCAGAAAGCTCAGATAACCTGAATGTCCTCATCCTCGAGGCCGGATTTCCTCCACCCGCTCTGATAACAACCACCAGTATGTATTGCTCACTGTTATTGAACTCATTTACTCCTCACAATCTCCCCATGAGATGGGTAGTCATCATCACACAGCTAAGGAGGGGCAAAGCAGAGTGCAAGGTCAGGGTTAACTTTTCCAAATCTGCAGGCGGGTCACCCATAAAGAGGTTTGCATTCTGAATAGACCCATAAAGAGGTTTGCATTCTGAATAGTGTCACAGACCTGGCTCCAAGCTGGTGCTTAAAGCAATTCTGATACATGGGAGGGAGGTGCCCCCACCTACATGGACTCTGTGCTGGCAAGACAGCATTGGAGCCAAAGTTCCTTCCTCAGCCCCCATCCTACAGGGGCTGAAGGGCTAGGGCTTCCAAAAGCCTCATGCTAAATGGATGGGGGATCCTGGATTGGATCCTGGAACGGGGAAGGGACATTAGTGGAAAAACCAGTGAAATTTGAATAAAGTCTGGAGTTTAGTTCATAGCAATGTGCCATTTTGGTTTCTAATTTTGACAAACATACCATGGTATTCTGTCCTGTAACATTATGTCCTGTAACATTGGGGGAAACCGGGTGGAGGGGTATTTGGGAACTCCGTACCATGTCTGCAAATTTATAGACAAGGATCAGATCCCTCTCCTGGCCTCAGCCCTGCCCGCCAACGATGGCACAGCTGGCAACTCACAGCTGCCTGACATCCTGCCTCTGTGGCCCCCCTCGAGGGCTGCCTGGCCAAGGGCACCTGTTTGCCCAACACTGGGACTCTAAGCAGACACAAGAGCCTGTGCCTTAACTGTTATTCCAAACTGCCTCTCACCTCCTAGGGGCCAAATCCTTTCTTTCCCTATGAATCCTAAGGGTGATCTTAGCATAGAGCCAGCTGCCTCAGAAATCAAAATGAGATTACGTACCATTATAAGCTGGATCCACAGCTTATAAGCTTGGCTCATATGGGAAACCCAAAGCAAACGAACACATTTTCTATATCAATAACACTATTGACTTAATTCCATAACCAACCATAATTTGGACACTAGAAGTTATATAAGCGTCAGTAACCAGATGTCATAGATTCTCTTTACTTACCGTTTCAATTGTCTTGCTTATTTGCTTCTGAATTTCCATAAGCATCTCCACACCCTGTAAGCAGAATAAACATGATCTTCCACAACGGCAGTCTAGAAGTTTTAAATATAAAAATTTTCACCACACACAGCTGTTCCTAACTCAGAATAGTTGTAGGGTCCCTGACAAGGTCTATGACATCTGAAGATTAAATGCTAATCGTCAGCCCTCAGGTTCCCGTCCATCAAACATGAATGAGAGGCTCTTCCTCCTCAGTATCCTCTCTTCATTGTCCAGAGCTGGCTGGTTCAGATGGTTGGATCAAGTTCACTTCGTTCTATTTCACGGTCTCTTGACGGGACCTTCTTGCACTACACGTCACAGGTCACAAAGGGATTCTGCATGATAGTGTTTGAGTTCCTGTAAACCCACAGTCATTTAAAAAGTGGGAAAGCCTATTCTGATGACAGTGGGATCTGCATATGAAGGCAGATAAAGAACGGTGGGCCAGTGCTCTGGTACCCACACCGCACACCCAGTCTTCATTACAGGATCTGAACTTGATCTGACAGACGGTGAGCCAGAGATAAAGTCTAGTTTTCTCCAACTGACAAATTGGGAGGCAATGGTTATTCTCTTTCAAAAAGAATTCTTTACCGCAAACCGTCTTGGGGTCTAAAAAACAATGATTTTTTCACTATATCACTGTCTTAGCAGAGGGGATGGAGCTTCCTGTACTTTCTCCCTAAACATCCCCTATAGAACATGAACACTGAGTTCTCCCCAATGCCTACTTAGTAGAATACTTCATGAGTATTTAAAGAAGGATATTGCCCTAGCTGGTTTGGCTCAGTGGATAGAGCGTCAGCCCAAGGACCGAAGGGTCCTGGGTTCGATTCCGGTCAAGGGCACATAACTCAATCCTTGGGTATTAACCAAAATAAAAATTTAAAAAAAGGATATTGACTCAGCCAAGACATGAAGAACAATATAGACACTAGCACACTGCTAAGTAGTAAAAATGCAACTTAGGGTTCCTTCATTCCATATTCCATAAACATGCACTAACCCTCTCTTAGGTGCCTGGCAATCTGCCATCTCTCATCTTCGGGCCCTGGAGTTTCTAACTCAGCAGAATGGGCTGCTAGGAAAGTGCCAGCTCCCTCTTGTTGCTGCTGGAGTGCATGGACCAGATAGCTTAGCTCTCCCAGGAGAAGGCCTGCACGGTTACATGCAAGTGGTTCCCCTGTGAGCCACTAGCATGAGTCAGCGCTGTAATGAACCAGAGATCCCAGGTGGTCTAACTGTGTTCCCGTTTGTTGGAGGTTTTGCTTTCTTCCCCTTGCCCTAATGTGTGAAAATGTTTTTTTCTCATTTTACATCTAATTCCCTCTCCTTTGGAGTCATAAGTCTGGGGACCTACACTTAAAAACACATTGACGATAGAGTATATCTTTTTTTAGAAAAAGTAGCCTGAGATAATGTAAGGTACTTGTTTAGCCATTAATCCAGGATGGGGTATACAGATCACTTCTTTCATTAAATTCAGCTTCCCAGGCGATGACTTCCCACAGCTGACCAGAGATACCATTAGCAAAGGAATAGTTAGCTTTGCTGGCTGTTCCTGAAATGGGAGAAAAGCAAGAGGAAATGAGAAACATGGTCCCTTCATACTGAGATGCCCAGGCTCCTGGTGACGGAATGTGATGGAGACTAACCTGAGGGTGCTTCAGGGATGCGATATGGAAGTACAGAGGGTTACTGTGCAGCACGGCAATGGTTTTGGCGACAGCTAGTGACACAGCCCCTATGGCCATGCTGCCACAGAGCACAGGTTCAACAGGCTCTGGAGGTGGGAGAGGTTTCTCTGTGATAGTACTCTTCCGACCTGGAGGGAAAAATATTGATAACAGATTCCTTTTTAGGAAGTTTGACTCTAAGAAAACTATTAAACTATTTTTTGAAGGCTTTACTTTACAGATACTAAAGCTCAGCATAAAGGTTGAAAACCGAGGCTGGGAATAACATATTCTCCACCTCAACCCCCAACAAGTTATCTGTTTGACTTCATTTACCACTCCCCAATGCTCAGTCCTTAGGCATGGATTTTGCCTCTCTTAAGAAATTTGTAGAACATCCAAGATGGGCAGATATTGTTATCCCACATTCCCATATAACAAAACTAGGGCTTAGAGATGTCAAAAGATTTGCCCAATATTTATCAGAAAGTTCAAAAAGAGAGGATTCCAAATCCTTTGTTTTTCTCTATACTACCACAGCTCTTGTATACCCAGCTTGATGTTGAACATCTCTTCATGCGTATATCTATACTAGAGGCCTGGTGCACAAAAATTTGTGCACTCGGGGGGGGGGGGGTCAGTCCGGCCTGTGCCCTCTCGCAGTCGGGGAACCCTCAGGGGATGTCCACCTGCTGGCTTAGGCCCGCTCCCCGGGGGATTGGGCCTAAGCTGGCAGTCAGACATCCCTCTGGCAGCCTGGGAGCCCTCGGGGGATGTCCACTTGCCAGCGGGGAGCAGGTCTAAGCTGCAGTCGGACATCCTTAGTGCTGCTGAGGAGACGGGAGAGGCTCCCGCCACCACCGCTGTGCTGGCAGCCGTCAGCCTGGCTTGTGGCTGAGCAGAGCTCCCCCTGTGGGAGCACACTGACCATCAGGGGTCAGCTCCTGCATTGAGCGTTTGCCCCCTGGTGGTCAATGTGTGTCATAGTGACCAGTCATTTCCAGTTGTTCTGCTGTTAGGGTCAATTTGCATATTACCCTTTTATTATATAGGATATCTTTCTCACCAGCCCCCAGCCAATGCCTTTTTCTTTTAGAAATGCCTTCAGATCCAATCATCCAACCAGAATCCTTCATCTTTCACTCTCATATGTTCTCGGCCACCCAGGCTGAGCATGTACCACTGAGTCCATCATTAGTCTCTTGTGTCCTCCTGTCCTTGTTTTCCCCAGAGCTACTTGGGTCAAGCAGGTAAGATAAGTGGAGTAAGATGTAAGCACCTAGCACACAGTAAATGTTTAACAAGTTACTGTCCCCTCTGACTTCTTCCTTTCTCTTGTGTTCCAAGTTCTATCAGTCAAAAGCAACCGCCAAATGAATATCCATTGATGGTCTCTACATGTAATTCAGTAGTGGCTGTCCTCACCCTCCCAAGAGATTGATCTAACATATTTTTTTTTGTCCAAGGCAATTCTCCCCCCCCCCACCCCCCCGATCCCAGGCCTCAGCATCTGAATCTGTGAAATAAGAGACTTTGTCTCCATGGTCTCTTTGGTCCCTTTCTGGTTCTGGTGCTTTTTTACTCAATGGAACCCACATTAAGTGGGTATTTAGTTTGCACTTGGCATCATGCTAGGCACTGGCAGTGCTAAAGTGAACAAAGCATGGTTCATGCCCTCAAGGAGCATGTTCTAGCTGGACTGATATACAGAATACTGTTACAATACAAGCAGCAGCTCCAGAATTAACTTACTGGAGGGACTGTTGGAAGGCATGGAACAAAGGGCCATGATGACTTCGATTATTTGCTTTACCATAGCAAAGTGTCCCAAATACATTGTTTATTAACATGTTACATAGGACTGAGAAAATGTTGGTTATCTTTAAAATATGGAGTGGCTTCCTGATAAACTAATGGAAATGTTGAGGGGCAGTTAAAGGTCCCCCATGCCACCCTCGCCTTCCCTGTCTCCGGCATTGCCACACCATTCAGTGCACTTTGTGTATTTCGTAAATGCTCACCTCTGGGTAAGAACTGTGTTCATCTTACAAAAATAAGTTAATAAATAAATGGAGGGTGAGATGGGGTAAAACCCTGACAGCCCAACATAGAAGCTTCAAGCAAGGAAGTGGCATGGAGGGTGGATGGTACCTGCTGGTAGCCCAACCTAGGGCTATAGCTAAGAGACTCTACCTCAACAAGGCAGTCTGAGCTTCAGTCTTTTTTCCTCACATGTTTGTTACCAAAGGTTCTGCAAGATGATAAGCCGCTGACCTTGCTTCTGTCCTTTTTTTTTGGCCGGAGGTGGAGGAGGAGGAGTTGTTGGTGGTGGTGGCATCAGAGAGGAAGATATGTGTACAGATGAATTTTCCAGGCTCTTTTCCAATTCTTCTCCCTCCTTATCTTCTTGCACTTTATTTTCAAAGAATGTCCTTCATGGAAAATATGGCGGTAGAGGGGCATATTTAGGGATATCCCTTGTAGTTTTGGTCATGTTTTAGTGCTGACCCCAATATGTTTTAATAATTAACTCTGCTTTTTAGCTACTTAAGAACAATCAGCTTCAATTTCCAAGGCCAAAATACAATGGCGCTATTATGAAACAGTATTTAAGAACTGAAATTAATTTTGGCCTGGAAATAAATGTTTAAAGATTTCAGCCTTGTTTTTAAATTATTTGAGATTTGATTCTATTTGTAAAGTAAATTTGAAGATGTAATTTGATTAAGGGCTATTGAATTTTCTTTTTCAATAAATGACCATCAGAAGAAAAAATGAGTCAAGAATAGAAAAAGAAGTATATAGCACTATGTGCAGGACTTCTTCTTTTTGGAGGGTGGGGCTTAAAAAACTTTGAGGAAATCTCACTTAGACACATCTATATAAAATTTCAGTCACATAGAAGAAAAGAGGCTAAAAGTTCCCGTAGACAAAAAAGCATCAATAAGTCAACAAAGACAGGGGAATCTGATTTGCATTAGACTAATTAATAATCCAGACGCCGGTGGGGCAGTGACGTTAAAGTGCTGAGAGCAATTGATTTTAAACAAGAATTCTATACTCAGCTAAACTGTCAACCATGAGAGCAAAGTGCTGACATTTTCACACGTTAAGAACTCAAAAACTTGACATCCTTTTCTCATTCTTACTTTTAAAGGATACAATCCAGCAAGTTAAGAAAGAGGAGGACCTGGGATCTGGCAATAGGAGAACAAGGAAGGGATGTCTTACATGCGGCATCTCTGTAGTAGGCCTAGAGAGGAGCCAGTCCAGATGGGAGGTTTGGGGAAGGAAGGAAAGCTCCAGGAAAGAAGTAATGTACAGAATAGAAGGTATGAATAATAACAGGACCCCCCCCCACACACACACAATAGGAATAAGTGTAATAGCATTCAGAAACCAAAAACTAATTTTATAAAAAGGTTTTTACAAGGGTCATGATCCAACTCTGAGCAAACTCAAATATAACATTATGTACAATTTAGCAGGGGATGAAGCTTAGAGAAACAGAATCCAGTTGACCTTCGTACGGCCAAGAGATGGTGGCATTGGACCTGCACAAAAGGAAAAGTAATGCTAGTCTCCACTTCACTGGGCACTGGACAATACTCACAAAGCCCCACTAAACAGTCCCTTGGTTTTCACATTTCGGAGTCAACCGATGGGCAAGGTATGGAAGATCTGCTTGTGTCTGGAGGACAGAAAATAAGCATCACTCATTCATTGTGACTATATGGAAGGCTATGGGATGCTCAATGAGGGTATATGAGGAGGTGGGGAGAGGGAGGGAGAGGACATCAACTCCAATCTTTATTCTGTTCCTGAGAATCTTTTTACTGAATCCGAAGGAAGCTCTATGCACGAAAAGAGGTTGGAAGTCCTTATGTAGCATTACACAGCAAAATTTTAATAATGGTTTTCAGAAGAAAAGCAACATTTTATGCTAAAGTTTGCTGCTTTAGCATAGGCTTCTTAACTAACTGCTGTATCCTATGGATATGAGAGACCTGTTTTATTGACAGGTGAATGGAAAGGAAACATATATATATTTATACCACACACTTACATTTCTTTCTTTTTTTAATCCTCACCCGAGGATATTTTTCCACTGATTTTTAAAGAGAAAGTGGAAGAGAGAGGGAAAGACAGAGAGAAATATCGATGTGAGAGAAACACATTGATTGGTTGCCTCCTGCACATGCCCCGACCAGGGCTCAGGCCGGGGAGGAACCTGCAACCGAGGTATGTGCCTTTGACGGGGATCGAACCCAGGACGCTTCGGTCTGCAGGCCGATGCTCTATCCACTGAGCCAAACCGGCTAGGACTGCACACTTACATTTCAAAGTGGAAGACTTGCCTGAGCACCTGGTCCACCTCAGCCTGGTTGGAGGGCTCCAGGCCCTGAAGCTCCTGGGTGATGTTTTCGTTGACCCACTGCACAGCAATGCTGACGGCATCCAACCTCTCTGCTTCCATCGCTTCAGCCAGCTCGGACACAGCGTTCTCGTAGACTTCGAAGTGAGTCGCCATCATCACAGAACACATGTACTGAAAAGAATACAACGTGTTCTACAATTTCTCTACCTCTTGCAGAAAATGGGAGATGTATCTGGCTTTTGATGTGCATATTTTGTCCCTACTTTCAAAGGGAAAATGAGGATATATAATTTTCCTTGAGGTATTTTTGTAGCTATTGAAATACTATGGAACACAACTTCATGGGGACATTTAAAATTATTGCCTTGTTAAAATCCCCTTAGGCCCTGGCCAGTGTTGCTAGGTGGTTAGAATGTGGAACCACGCACGGAAGGGTCGCAGGTTTGATTCCTGGTCCAGGGCACATACCCGGTTGCAGGTTCGATCCCCAGCCCCAGTTGGGCCAGCCAATCGATGTGTCTTTTTTTCTCTCTCTCTCTTCCCCCCTCCCTCCTTCCCTTCCACTCTCTCTAAAAATCAATGGAAAAAAATATCCTTGGTTGAGAATTAGCAGCAGCAACAACAACAAAATCCCCTTAGAAAAACCTTATATTTAAGTTCATTTTTATCACTAGCTCTCCAATAAATAGCAAAAAGTATACAAACAGATTTAATCATAATTATTTTCCTTCCAGAAACTGTAGCAAAATTGCTTCTAACAATGCATAGGAATTACTAAAATGTAGCAATTAAAATGAATTATTAAAATTATGAAAATGCATTTTTCTTTAGGTAGTTCACTCTATATCTCTCTAAATCTACATAGAATCTAGATATAAATATATCAATCTATAAACCTATCTGTAGATTTATGGAACTCATCATCATAATAATGTCAGGTTTTAAAAGGATTTTTGCTCCATTTCCTTTCTCCACCTTGGATCGTCTTCAAGTTAGCATGTCATGTCTGTACCATATTACACTGAAACATAATAAAGCCATCATGGTTAATTGTATGGTTCATACTTTATGTACATGCCTACCGAAAAATGTATGTGGGTGTGTTTCACAAACACTGTATTTCAGAACATTCATTTCCCACAAAATAGACAATAAATGTAGCGAAGAACCCATGTAAGCGGCCTCGTACCTTGGGAAAATTCTGAATGGTGCAGAATATTTCCACTTGGAGGGTGGGAAGCCCCAGTCCGTCCAGCACATGCTTCCCCACCACTTTGCAGATGGTGGGTGGCTTCGCAAGTTTAGAAAAGCAGTTTGCCTTTAACACAGAAAGGTAAAAGTCAGGATACCACACCTAACTTACCTTTAAAAGGTCATTCACAGTTACTCTAGTTTCTAACAAACTCTCTCCACCACCCCCCCGCCCCCGCCCCCGAGTGTCCTCCTCGTGCCAGGATGAGTCTAGCTCTAGCTCTAGCTGCTCTGTGGGAACTGCCCCGCCCTCACTCACGGAGATTTGGGTGTCACCTGATGTTGAGTCTCTGATACATGGGGTGATCTGTTGTCTTTTCAACTCTCAGCAGAAACTCACATGCATTTCTTAGTTCAAGGCCCTGTGTCATTCTTTAGCTGGCCTTCACCTATCCCTCCAAGATACCAGAGTCAATTGGTCCCTAGAACACAGATGCATTAAAACTTAAGAAACCTTACGTGGGCCAGTTTATATTCCTCCCAGCAGGGCCTCTGATAATTTAATGCTGAAGAGTTATGCAGAGGCTGTGCTGCACTGGCCATCAGTTCACGCGTAGAATTACCCCATTTCCTTTCTCTACTGGGTCGAAGAGGATTGTTGGAACCTTGGTAATAGCACTTTCATTGATGTGGGAGAAGAGCAGGAGCCATGTGGAAGTGATCCAAGAACGAGATGGAAGAAAGAGAATGAAGCTGAGGTGGAGAGCCCGCTCAAGGAGCCCGAATAAAAAGATTCGAGATGGTGTTTCTACTCAGGAGCTAAGACAGAAGGTCTAGGGCTCTCTAGTAAGCACACCAGGCTCATGACTCAGCATTCCGGACAGGTCTCAAACTACCAGGGCCTCTCTCTACCCGACCTTTCTCCCTGCGGCAGGGTGATCGGGTGTCTTTGTGCGCAGCAGCATGATGACTAGATTCTGAGAGGGACTGTTCCAAGACTACCAGACGTGATATGGCAGCACTTACCAAGCCTCTGCATCATGCCTGCCAATGGGCCGTTGATAAAAGCCAGTCACAAGGCCAAGTTCTGAGTCACGGTGGAAGGGACTCTCACAAGTCCGTTCACTCTGGTGGTGTGGTTCATTGGGGACCACCAAGATGACAGTCTATTATAGGGCTAAGCCTCTGCCTGATTCGCAGTCCCACACTCTTTCACCTGTGAATTTTGTGAGGAAGGAATAAAGAGTATTGCTATTGCCCACAAGGGTCTGAATCCTCGAATAGGTAAGAGAAGCATGCAAGAAATGGCATTTGAGCTCAACACTGGAGGTGCACTATTTCAACAGGTAGATGATAGAAATCCAGTGTAGATCCTTCTGGTAGATGGACTAGGATAAGGAAAGGGAGGGAGGTGGGAAACTTCTGGCTTTAGGGGAAAGTGGGCCGTATGGAGGAGCCAGGGAGGGAGGGTTACCAGAGGTAGAGAGGGGAGCGCTATGAATCACACACCGGAAGGTGTTTGATCTTACGCGGCAAAGCGTAGCCACAGGAGTTTCTAAGCAAAAGAATGATGGTCAGATTGAAGATCCGGAACATTGCGCCGGCAGCACTATGCGCGATGGACACAATAGAAGGAGAGACTAGGTGAGAATAAGGAAGGCTCAAACTAGGGCAGTGAGAAGGAAAAGGAAAAGGAGGTTGCTTTTTTGCCCACCCAAATTCCTTAACAACCTTCAAAGTCCAAGCCAAAACGTTCCCAGACACTACAGCCGACAGGGATCTTTCCCAACCCTGAATCCTTTAGTAAGCTTAAGTGATCTGTCCCTCCGTCTAGCACACAACGGTATATCACCTTATCTAGTATCCATTTTAAAAAATATATGGCTTTGCCTCTAACCAAAGTATAAACTCTCGGAGAGCTACGCAAACTAAAGTCCTGGCTGCCTGATAGACTGGGAAGAGCATTACACCAGGGACCAGAGTCCAAGTTTCTAGTCTTAGCTTTTGCTCCAAGTAGCTATGAGACAAGAGCTTGGTGTCTTTGTAAAATGAGGAGCTTGGACCAGTTAACTTTCAAGATTTCCTCTAGCAAGAAATAGTGGACTTCAGAGTTGCATTCATTCATTCATTCATCCTATAAATAGTTTGGGAGCGTCCTCTATGTACCAGGCCCTCTGCTGGGTACTAGGGACAAAGACCTGGTTTGATTTCTCCCTGCAGTTCTTTGTGCCCCTTGGGAAAAATTTAAGTTCACTGGGCCAGTTTATTTGTAAAATGCGAACATAACTTTTACCTCACAGGGGTCCCAAGGATTAAGTGAAATAACATATAAAGCACTTAACACAAGGAACGCAATACACACCTCGCCCTCAGTCCCCCCCCAACTTTGATGTAATAGGCCATGAGAGAAAAACAAACATTCCTCAAGTATCCTCTGAACCCACTGTCTCCATAACATGTGCTTCTGAACCCTGTAAACACATCGGGCTTCTCCACAGCATTTGCATACTCTGCTCGTTGTCACACCTCACCATAGTGCAAACTCCTGCTAGTCCCGACCACGCAGCCTTCCAGAAGGTAGGTGTTGGTTAATACTATGGGCCTGGAAGCTGCTTCAGGCTAAGGTTTGTGCCAGAAATCGCACTGGGCACAGCAACCAGGAAGGTGATAGGAAAAGGCACCTGCTCTCTGAGGAGCTGACTGTGCATCCAAAAAAAATGCTGCAGGGACTGGGACCGCTGAAGGACAACCAGTCCAGGGCGCAGCAGCCGAGACTTTGATCTGAAATGGAAGTTGAGTGGGTGCTGGTCAGGTGGGGCCAGCCATGCAGGCAGGAGCCAGGCTTGATGTGAATGAAACTTGGAAGCAATGGGAGCGGGCTGGGCCTGAGGTCCCCGCCAGCGCGTTCATCCCGTGACCAAGAGGAGGACGCTGGAGGCGGGTAAACTGAGCTGCGCGGTGTTGAGGTCTGTGTTTACAGGAACAACCGGCAGCCGGGCCGGCCGGTCCCGAGGCAGCGAGGAAGCCTGGCAGGCCCCGAGCTGTCGCCGTAGCAACAAATCCGCCTGGAGCCCACTACCCTCTAGCTAGCTGCTTCCCATCCACCACTTTCTTTCTAGAATCTCCTCCGCCCCAGGTTCCCCGCTCGGCTGCTGCCCTGCAGGATCGCCTTCCCGCACCACTGCGGTCGCCAAGCCCGCGGCAGCGACGCGCGTGCGCGACCTCGCGGCGCAGGCGCACAGCGTTGCCGCAGCGCGGGGCGGGGGGAGGGGCTGGAGGGAAGCGGGTGCTGTCCCAGGTCCCTACCAGGTGCCCGTAGACGTCGGCAGGCTGGAGGTAGAAGGTGGAGTTGAGCAGCTCTTCCAGCTTGCGCGGGACGTCGTTCTCCCGGTAGTACTCCAGCGCCTGCTGCTTCAGCCTCCGCAGCTCCCTAGTGGGCCCACAGCCGCGGCCGCCGCCTTCGTCCCCCATGGTAGGCGATTTCAGGCGACCGCGGGGGTTAGCCTGGGGGCCCGCGAGCGTCTTCCGCGTCGCTAAGCAACGCCACGCCGAGCGCGACCCCAAATCTCGCGAGGCTTCCAGCCCCCTGGCGGGAGCTGGAAAAGACCCCTCGGCCCTCCTCCCTCACGCTTCCCGACCAGCGCTCCCCCGGCTGGCGTTGCTGGTCGCCACTTCCCCCGACGTTTTCCAGATGGGGAACTAGTTAGCGATCTCAGGTAGCGCCTTTGGTGGGAGTGTGGGAGGCGAGCCCCAGCTTCCAGTGGGGGGCTCGAGCCTGGGGCGGCGCGGGGTCCCGTGGCCCTGGAACTCGGGCCCTCGGCCTTCGCCCACCCCCCACCCCTTCGTTCCTCCGGGGACGGTGGCGAGGGCGGCCCGTGCGGCCTACCCTCCTGGGGAGGGAGATAAGGACTCAGGGTTTGCTCCCTAAGCGGTGCAGGTCCCCGGAGTTAATGACTTCATTCATTCATTCACTCACTGCCCTGAGCCGAGCCGTGTTCTGGCGGGGCATCCTGTCGCGGTCTCCCGGGGAGGTTAGTTGGGTTAAATCAGTGGATGGAAAAGAGATTTGGGGTGAAACTTAAGGATGCTTATGGTTCAGAAGGCTGGGGGGAGGGTATAGAAGACTTTCTGGGTCGCGTTCCCTCCCCCAAACCCTCGCAGGCTGCCTGCATCCTGCCCTTTTACATCCAAGCTCCCTGCGTGGCTTCAGTGCCCCGGCCGGCCGGGTGTCCTGCAGGCTCCTAGGCCTTGCAGTGCGCGCCCCGGCTCCGAGCTTCTGCTGCAGGAACCCGCCGAGGTGCACGGGGTGTTCGTGTGCTCCTCTTGCCCGTGTGTGTTTCTGACCTAAGCAGGTCACTTACACGGTCTGTGCCGCACTTGGATCGTCTGGAAAACACATCTTACTCACCTACTCTGCCCGGTTCGCTGGTCACTTAGGAGAACATGAGTGAGAAAACATTTGCAACCACATAGTTGTTTCCAGTAGGTGCACGTACATCTGTAAAAACATTTGATTCTATAAATACTACAGTAGGGGCCCAGGCAGGTACCTCCTTCTGCACTTTCTCCCTGTTTTCCCCGAATCTCTAATGGGATGAATGTCTCCCTTTCCAGGGTGCTATAAGTCATCACAGACCTACCTCATCCTCCTGGCTGGACGGCCATCCCTGCATGTAGGAGCCGAGCCTGAGTCATACTCACATCCACCCAGGAGCCCCGGGCCCCGCAGGGAGGGAGCATGGGCTCTGCTGAATGGTGTTGAGTGAACCTTTGTACAGAAGAAGCCCCTGCCATTGCTGCTGCTGTTTCCGGTCCACCTTTGTGCCTTTCCTCACATCCCCCTGGATGGAGGGCACCCCCTTTCCTAGTAGCCCATCCTTTAAGGCCCAAGTTGAGTCCCACTTGAGAGAAGCCTTTTCTCACACTCGAGCTCTCCTCAGCCCTTTCTTTCTTCTGAATCCTTCCCCTGGGCCACAACGTTCAGCCCTCGGGGATTTCTCGACTCATTTGACATTTTAATGGAACATCTGGTAGTACCCTGAGCTGGGACCATCATGTCTCAGAGTCTCCTCTCTGTAACGCATTCGCCTCTAAGGTCCATGAGGACAGGGGCCTGTTGTGTCTTCTTCACCTTTGCATCCCCAGCAACAGCACGTTACCTGATAGAATAGATGCTCAGTAAATATCTGTCGAGTGAATGAAGGGGTTTCACACATAATGAGTACTTCATAAATACCTAACTCACAATCAGATGTTGGGTGAGTACTAAGGACACCAGGCTGGCTGGAGCAAGAGGTTTATTTTTAAGAATAATGAGAAATAAGGATGGAAAAGTAGTCTGAGGTGAGACTGTGAAGAAGCTGCAGCACCATTCTGTAAGAGTGGGCAGCCATCCCACATTTCTGACTATAGGATAGCAAGATGGAAGTGGTGTTTTAGGAAGTTACCCGGCAGCAGTGGGTAACTTTGATAGGTGTTTTGTTATACAACAAGCAGGAGACCCAGGCAGAAAATGATACAGATGGAAGGCCCTAAACAATAATAGTAGCAATGAGAAGAGAAGGGTGAGAGAGATGTTCCGAAGCAAGGCTGAAAATCCCTTTGAGGTTGGGGGACCAAAGGTGACTGTTGAGGATAGCCTGTAGAATTGTGTGACAGTTGACAGAAATGGGGGGAAAGAGTGATCTGGCTTTGTTGGAACAGGATTCATTTGGTTTTAGACATGTAGGACTCTGGTATCCCAGAGGAAAGGGAAAACTGAAGATACAGATACCCACAACAAATTTAAAGTTGAATAAGAACAGATGAATCTTCTGGAAGGAAAAGGGGAAAACGTCCTCTTGAACTCAGGATCTAAATGTTGGGGAAGGAATATATTTAGGATATAGGAAGAGGGTAAGGAGGTATTGTCGGAGACCCCCAAAAAAAGGGCTTATGGAAAAAAGAAAAAAAAAACTCCAAATCATAGAATCTAGGACAGAGTTATGGATCAACTGTGTGTGTGTGTGTGTGTATATATGTACTGAGCACACAGGATAAAGTCTGAAAGGATATCATGAGCATGTGTGTCTTCCTTGGGTTATGGGAATATAGGGAACTTTTATTTTCTTTTTATCGGTAGTTTCTGATTTTCCTAAAATGAATGTATTACTTGTATAATTTTGAAGAATTACATTAAAACTATTTGAGGAAAGGATGTTAAGTCAAATATTACGAGGAGAATTGAAGACGGAAAAGATTATTAGGGACTCAGTTCTTCCCTTGTAGATCATTCTATCTCCTCAAATAAAAATAAAACTACTTGTAGGCTAAATGATGAATAAACCTGTCATTCCTATTTACTGTTGATTCAGTCAATCAACAAACATTAATTGAATGAATGCCTACCATGTGCCAGGCACTGTTTTAGCTATTGGGCGGGGGGGGGGGGGGGGGAGGGGGGAGGACTATGAATAAAATAGATAGCATTTCTACTTGTCATGGCACTTAAGTTCTAATTGTGCTCCAGTAACACATTTTAGTGACCAGTTGGGACAATAAACTGAAATAAGAGACGTGAAAGCATTTTGAAAAGTTGGTCGGCTAGGGGTTTAAGAGCCTGTTAGTGTTGACAGGTTCAGAGAAAATAAAATGATTATTCACGAATATACCAATTTTCTTATTTTCCATAGATATAGAAGTTCTGGGTTTTTAACTATAAAATACATTCATACATATGCATATTTTATACAGACTTAACACATTTCTTATTCAGTACCTTCATATTAAGACTAAATGTCCAAGGGCACTTACAGAGCATCGGAGCTTGAAAGGGGGTGGAGTGCTGCCAACCCTAAAGGCATAAACTGGAGAGTTGAGCAGGCGAAGGAAAGGAAGAGAAAGGACAGATTCAGGATATATAGAAAATTCTGGCACATATCCAGTGACAGTGGGTAGGACTATGCTCTCCTCTTTTAGAAAGAGAAGAGATATTAGGAAGAGGACATGACCACGGCTGTTAACTTCCCATTGGAGGGGATGTATGGTGTGGGACAAAGACCATTTGGGAATTAGAAAACCTAGATTATAGGAATCCCAGTTGTCCCAATATCTTCTAAGACCTATTCAGTGAAATTAGGGGGTTGTATTAGATCAGTGTTTCCTAACCTTTTGGATGAAGACTCCTTTTGAACAACAAAAAATTGACTCCCCTCCCCGTGTAATAGTGGATATATATAGTGATTATGAATTCAGTAGTGTGTCTAGAGGCATTTGTATCTCATTCATGGAAACGTACATATGACAAAGAGATGGTATTTATGAGCAAGCCATTCTCCAGTGTTGGGAATGTGTTTGGTGTACATTGGAAGTTGTGGGGCCCTTGCCCACAGCCCACGTGCTTCTTGGGGGTCTTGATTGAGAACTACTGAATTGGGTCTCTCCATCTTAGATCTCTTCTACTTTGTGGCTCTGATTTAAGATAAAATATCAGGACATATTAGGGTCTTCCTATCTGCTAATGGAAGACCCTTCTTAGAGGAAATTAACCATTCTCTTTCTGCATTTCAAATAGGATTTCTGAGCTATGACAGACATTTCCTAAATGAATGAGGATAAAGAAAAATGTATTTGTTCATTTTTCCTTAATCCTTTCTGACATCTCTATATAAATTGGAACTTGTTTGCCATGACTTTAATGTTCAGAGGTGATTATTTAGATGTTATTTTGGGGTTGCTATCAAGTGCTTGTTAATTCTTCTTTCCTGCATTTGCCATCTGCGTTGAGTATCATTTTTCATAGGGAACTAATGAACATGATTGCAGGTGTCTAATCACAGAATCATAGAAACTAGAGACAGAATAGATGGATATGTTGTCTTTTCCTCTTGTGGCGAACGGGAGTAATAATGTTGCCCTTACCCAGTTGTCATGAATGAGAAATATGATTGCCAAGCTAATTTGCAATATAAATAGCTGCAAATTAAATGCTAAGTAATAAAAGCAGGAATTATTTGACTAATAAAAAATGTTTTTCTGTAATTTGATTTTTTCACTCCTAATGCCTCCTGGCAGTAGTCATTACCATTGTAGTAATAATAACAACAACAACCACAGAAGCAACTACTATTGATATAGAGCAATGTTATATGCCTGGGGCTTTCCTCATATCCTCCCATCACATCTGTAGAACAACCACAAAAGGCAAGTGGCTGGCCCAAGGTTACACAGTTAATAAAGACTAGAGCTGGAATTTGAACTCAGGTCTGACCACTCCAGTGTCCATGCATTTTCCACGGTGCTCCACGGCTTCTCAGATCTGGAACTCTCTAAGTAAAATTCTACCGACTCGTGTCAGCTATTGCTGGACTCTTTCCCATTCTCTGCCAGTTGAGTTGCTTTCATTGAGGGCTTGGAGCAAGGAGCATGGATACGTGGTAATATTAATGTGATCACTGGTTCTCACTCTGGGCTGCACATTAGAATTATCTGGGG